AATGCAATCTGTGCAGATCCTCATCACAAGCCAGAGCCACCAGATCAAAACCAGGATAAATCCAAGAATAAAAAAGTTTTCATTCAGGGCCGTTCGTTTCACAGTGCAAATCTCAGCCATTGGATTTTTACTTTCCACCAAATTCTAATAACGTACAGACATTACACACGACAAAATCCAGTTAATATCCTGCATGTCTTATTGCATTTTGAAGATTTTCCAGGGTTACAGTGGAATAATGGAAATTACGTGCTGTATGGATATTGGGGTGTTTCTCATAGATTTTGTTCCTTTTAGTAATTAATTTCATCTCTTTCTCGAGATGCTAAGTTTCATTTATGCAACCAGATTGAGGTTAAAAGCTCATCACATTCTCTGCTTCAGAACAATGAAACACAGACATCAACTTGTATCAGTTACTCGTGGCTGGATTCGCACAGGGACAGAAGGCATTAACTTTGAATACAGTTAAAAATATGAATTTTAGAGTAATTACTGGTAGGATTTTTTTTTCAACTTGTTTGCACATTTTATATATATCTGTTAAATGCTTTTCCCTCTAGATCGACACCAATAAGAGTGAACTAAAAGATTTTGTTTACATAAAAACAAATACTGTTGAGCATGAGATATTGAGTCATGTTCCTGGATCAGCTAATATATTAAATGCCATGATAAGATCAGGCAATCATATGTACGTAAATGGATGTGAAATCATTGAAGTACCACATCAATTATTGCCCATTGGAAAGGAAAGGAAAAGCAGTATTGAGTGAGTTACGTACAATAGGAAAATAACATTTCTTATCCCATTAAATCATCTCATGAACCTTATAACTTGAACCAACATCTTAAAGTTTCTTACAGGGGAAGGCATGAACACGTGATGTATCACCAAATTATTATGTAAATGATCAGCATTTCGAACAAATTCCTGCTAATTGCTAAGTTAAATTCATTTGTTTAGTAATTAGCAATGTTGGTATATATAGTTTGATACTGTCATTCATTATGTATGTCCTCTATGACAAACCCCAGACCTTCATCTAGGCATTCCGAACGATTAACACATTCTAATCCTAGCTAGAGTGGTAGCAACAGCATAAATATGAAGTTGTCACCACAAAACCCTAAACATGTGTTCAAAGGAGATAAGTACTACTCATGAGCGAGAGAGAGAGAGAGAGGCAGGAGAGACAGAGAGACAGGGACAGAGAAAGGGCCGACCGATCACATCAGAGTGAGGAAAGCAGAATCACGGATGGAGAAGAATACAAAAATGGCCAGCCTCTCAAAGATATCTATAACCATGCATTCACGGACGCTCTCTCAAACACAAACATTTTTTGCTTTGGATGAGACCATGCCCCTTCCCCCACCACCATTTTCTTCTCTTTCACCACCAACCACCATTTCACATGGTTGCCTCGCTGTACTCTTTTCTCATGCAATTGCCTACAGCTCTCTCTCTCTCTCTTTCTCAAAAAATTAAAGAGTATTTGCAGAATCCAATACTGTGACCAGAAATTGGGGAAAAGGAGTCAGTCAGCAATGAAGTTTCGGTCCGAATTGCATAACATTATCACGAGAAAAAATTTCATTAGCGGTTCTGGTTGAGCTGGCTTGTGAGCATAAAAAGGATATATGCAAGTAATGTGATCACCTTAATTTGGTTTCGATGAATAAGATCAAATGAAGGGGAGTTTCCTCTTATTATTATGGACAAAAAAAAACTCCCCCTCTGCTTTAAGCTAAAGTTCAATTTCTCTACATACTATTCTAGCAAGAAAGTGACATTCCTTTGACAATGACATTGTAATATAAGCTTAATGGGGTGTGTGTGTTTGTTTTAAGAAAAATTTAGATCATGATAACTTGGAAACATATATATTCATCATATGCTATCGCTAGAGCCTAGAGGTGGAGTGAGTAATTAACTTGCATGATTTCTGAGGAACCAATGTGGACATTTCAGAAAAATGAAGATTAGGCTTAAAACAGAGAGAGAAAGCATATATGTTTTTGTGCTATAAAATCTGAAAATATGGGGACCCAAATTGGGATAGATACAAATGACAAGGGAAGTAATTTTTGCCTAACGAAATTATCATGTGAGAATTCGGACAAATTCGTATGGTAGGATCCAACAGCATTTCTCTGTAGCATATGCCACATATAAATGAAAATCTTAATATAAAATTAGATCAATCCCGCATATATAGATGAAGTTGGAATCATAAATATTTTAAAGTTTTAGAGCTTCTTCGTTATCTTTGAGTTAATATGTGGTTTTAATAGCATACACTTTTAAAAAAAAAAGTTAAAAAATATATATATGAACACTTATTAAGATGATATATTATTACAAAAATTTGTAATTAATGCATTATTTCTTATTGATTTTCATAAAGTTTTAGCACAAAATTGATTTCTTCGAGACATTATTATTATTATTATTTTGTTGATAAAGCTCAAACAATTAGAACAGAACAGAACTTGGTTCGACTCGATTTTGGAAGAAAAAAAATTCAAATACAATGTAATAAAAATCTGAACTGAACTGGATACTATTATGATTGGAATCAATTTTTAATTTTTTTTCTAATCTTGCAAAAAATGCATTTAGTCATACTTAAATTATATATTATGGATGAATATACAAGAAATATAGATATATTAAGGTCTCCTGATTTCAACCAACGCCATATATATTGGGGCATCAAAATTCTTTGCTGAAACCTTGCATCAACACGTGATTATACAGGCAGGAGGGTCTGTTCATCTCGATCGGTCTCCTTCCATGTGGCCCCTATATATGGCAAAAGAAAGTAATTAAGCAAACGATTCCTCCTTCAAAGTCTTATCCAGAACGAGGCAAGTTGGCAATATAGCACAGTATAGCTGTGAATCTTGGCTGTGACTTACACAGAAAAAAGGCCCATAGATACCACAATCTAAAATGCCTTTGTGGCCCCATAATTCCAAAACACCCTCTTCTTCATTACATTTGACTATATAAGTAGATATAATTAATAACCATATATTTCTATTCCGTAATACAATTATTTGCAGCACAATAAAATATCAATATCTTCTTTATCGAAGATGTCCCATATGGAAAAATAATTGACTTTAATGATAAAAATTATTTCTAGCTTTTCCTATCTTTCAATAATACTAGTTGTACTGTTTTTTTTCATTTGGCAGATGTCATGCTAACACCATGCTTATAAAGCAGACCATGTAATATGATTTTACATGTAAATCACATTTATAATATCTTCATTAATTAATTTATTTCAATTGTTATTCCACTCTCTTTTTATAGCAATAAACAGAAATTGGATGCAGAAACAATTAACTTTTACCCAATGCTTTCTCGCACGTCAAATTATTTATGGGGAAATGAATCAGCCATATCTTAGTTCTGAGCCTTTGTCTCATAGATTTCTGTTAAACAATGGTACGTAGGTCAACCAAGTGACTAGGACTTCCACGGCGCATGCTCTGGTGGGGTCAGATTTTTACAGCATTCCAATCTCATACTTTTTTTTATGTTCAATATTTACTTTTTTATTAATTATTCTAATTAAATAATTAATGATCTAAGGATAGAGATATATAAATGCACGTCGCATGGTTCGTTTAGTTTTTTAACTTTTTTTTTTATTAAAGTCTCAATTTGACTTATGTTAACGATTTTTTTTAATGGAATGATTATATTAATTTTCATTAATTGAGACGTAATCCAAGACCAAAAAATGAATTTTATCAAAAGTTTTAGATTAATTATGCAATTCACCTTAAGGCTGAGCTCGATGTTAATAATCAGTTAATCACTCTATTTTTTGAATTAATTGGAAGGATTGTAGTATTCCAAAAAATAACGCATTATTTTATAATATATAGGCTTAATTAAATATATGTAACTCGGATTAAAACAGTTCAATTTAATAAATGGAAGGTCGGAATTGATTGGCTTAGAACAAACATCGAGCAAACAACAAAAGCCGTACCCTGTACTCGCCTATGCCCAACAGCCTATCTTTGTCTTCCATGAACTGCCCAACCTAGGATTTGATGGCATTAGGTCAAGCTGTGTCAAGTGTGAACTGAATATGGATTAATACTAGCTAGCTGGGAGAGAAATCATATGCATTCTAGCTCTTACTTAGGGTTTTATTATTATATATCACATGCATTGAAGAGTAACACATGGGATAAATCAATAATTTGGTGATATTTTTGGATTATCGAACGATGCAACATTCAAGTAGTTAGAGCATAAAAGAAGCTTCGGTTAAATTTCATAACATTTTTTGAAAAGATTGGGTGTTTCCGGATTTAAGCTCGTAAAGGATTTTATGACTAAAAAACTAAAATTGTTTAATTTATGGTGTTCACAAAAAAGTTTATTTTCATACTAATTGATTGAATTTGGATTTTCTGGTGATTAAGGATCTTCTAAATGCAATTAACAATATAATTTGGGTTTGTATGTGTCAATAAGCTTCCTATTCCTTAATACCCAAAAAGAAAAAAAAGAATTAAAAAAAAGAAAAAATATTTAAATATTTAATTTATTAATTGATGTATGATCGTTATATTTAAAGAGTAAAATTTAATTTACTTTTTAAATTCAAACAATAAAAAAGCAGCATGAGTGGAATTAAGATAGATTAAGAAATTGGGTAGGAGGCAAATTTGCTAGCTTCCCAACTCTGACTACCTCTCTCTCTCTCTCCCATTACCAAAATATATTGTCTTTCTAAATCAGAGTAGGAACTAATGACCAAAACAGTGTTCATAAAAGATGAAAGTAGCAGCGGTTAAATTTTGATAGACTCATGTAATTGTAAAGGCATGGTAATAGATTGCCAACTAGCAAAGTTTGGCAGCTGCCTTTAGAACTTAGCCCTAGTTCACGTGATCTGCTTCTCCTATGGCAATTGTTTGTTTTCTTGCACTCCTCACTATTCCTATATAACACCTTTTTCTCTACGAAAAGTTTACCCATTCCATTCCACTCCACTCAACTATCAAAATGGACTCCACCAAAATCTCAGCTCTGCTCCTCGTTTGCATGCTTTTCATTTCCGCAGCCACTCCAATTCTTGGATGTGGAACCTGCGGCAAATCACCCCCGAAGCACAGAAAGCCCAAGGGAAAGTCCCCTAAGGGTCCCATTACCATCCCTCCCATTGTTAAACCTCCAATCAACTTGCCACCGGTTACTGTCCCTCCAATTGTAAAACCACCAGTCACAGTCCCTCCGGTGACTGTGCCTCCAATTGTGAAGCCACCCATTAACCTCCCTCCGGTGACAATTCCTCCCGTTGTGAAGCCGCCAATCAACCTCCCTCCAGTGATCCCTCCAATTGTGAAGCCACCCATTAACCTCCCTCCGGTGACACTCCCTCCAGTGACGGTGCCTCCAATTACTACGCCACCAAGTGGAAAACCCTGCCCGCCACCACCGGCCAAGGCCACTTGCCCTATTAACACACTGAAACTGGGTGCTTGTGTGGATCTTCTTGGAGGGTTGGTGCACATTGGTGTTGGTGACCCGGTTGTGAATGAATGCTGTCCGGTTCTTTCAGGGCTTGTTGAGCTTGAAGCTGCAGTCTGCCTGTGCACCACTCTCAAGCTCAAGCTTCTCAACCTTAACATTTATGTGCCACTTGCTCTTCAGCTCCTTGTCACTTGTGGGAAGACACCCCCTCCTGGTTACACTTGCTCTCTCTAGATCATCCAAGTTAAGTACTTTATTATGTCCCTTTCATTCCAACGCTTTCTTTAGGTCCGAAGCTTCAACTGTTTGTCTCTGATTACAATTTTCTTAACTGTTTAGGGTAAAAAGGATTTCATAGTATTTGTTGAAAGAAAATGCTTTCTTTTCTTTGATTTCATTTCCAATACTTTTTGGGAAAAACTGTGGCAATGCTAACCTTTTCGTGCATATGAAAACTGTAGCTGACCTCAAGGATAAAGCTCGAGTATTATTTTAACCTAATTCAAACCAGAAGGAACAATTGAAACCAAATAAACTTCAGAAGTGATTCATCAAAAAGAATAAATAAAGTATGGCATGCAGTTTGCTCTCTAATTAAAAAGGCTAGTGAGTAAATGACTTCTTGCTTGTTCAATAAAAGTTTTATTTCTTTTCTGCACTATATACTTCGAGAATATTTTTTCCTCGTTTCATTCCATGGTGTACCGATTTGCAGGTTGCTAATTTCATGGACGCTCTTAGGATATCGACATGAGAGGATGTCCATCTTTCTCTTTCTCTTTCTCCCCTACCCTACCCTCCCCTCCCCTTTCTCTCTCTCAATTGGATTGGACTCTTATTGTACACCATTTGTTTTTTCTTTTCCTAAAGATTGTTGCAAGTGTGTTTTTGTCTTGGACCAAAAGAAGCAATCAAGAATGACCTTCTCCCTGTTTATGATTTTCCGGGATTTTCATTTTTTCCCGTATACAGTAACCTTTTCAACTATTATTTCTTCCTATTCAATCTTTAATCATTTGCTACAGTAAATTGCATGTGAAGGACTTAAAAACGCTTAAAGCCTCCTTAAGAAACTACAAATTTTGACCTCCCGAGTCATATCATATGATTGTAATTCAGGAAGCCTGCTGGGGGTCCCAGTTTAAGGGCATGCCTCTGTGACTCTGGATCCCACTTTGAAATAACATGATAAGTACCTGATGCGAAAATCCACCATTCAATCTGAGCTTCTGTTTTAGGTCATAATCATATGTATACAAATACTGCTACTGTAAGAGAGAGAGAGAGAATGTTAGTTTTTGGAGATCCAATGGGCTTTGAGAAGTCCACCTTTCAATTCCAAACACAATGTCATCATGAAATATTCTGGTGTTTTTTTTTTGGCCCTGTGCTGTGCATGGTACGTAAAAGGTTACTTTCAGAAACTAGAGAGAATGGAAGTGCCTTCTGGGAGAGTTGATTACTTTTAGAAAGACGACAGAGACATGTGAAATAAGTATGCTTTTCTTTTTATCCAACCCATGAAGACTGAAGAAGGCTTTCAGCATACAAATAGTCTTGAAACCAGTACACTTATATAGAGCAGCCTTTATATATATATATATATATATATATATATATAGTTCCATTCAAACCCATTCTTCATTGCTCTGAATCCCTTTTTTCTTGTGTTTCTATGTCAGGTTTCCACTTTCTCGTAGCGCAGATTAATCCTGAGGAAATAGTAAGGATAATTAATTCGGTTCCGATATCCTAATATTACTATTGAAACAATTATTATCAACGTGCATTAGAATAATTTAACACAAGCTAATACTAGAGCCAATATGCACTACAAGCTTGATTGCAAGGTATATTGAGGACTCGTTCATAATAGTTCCTTTAATTTGGAAGAAAATTATTCCCAAAAAAATAAAAATACCGAGGAGCTAGTCAATGTAGGTAATTATGGCACATTTTGATAGTGAAGAACTCAATATTAGACTGAAAAATCAATGGCGTTTGGGAAGTACTATAATAAGGACCCCATATGCTTATATATATGTTTGATTACTTTACAGCTACGTCGTCAATCATGGACGCTCTGTATGAAATCTGTTTTTCGTTTTTGGCCTTTTTCAAATGTAGCAATCAGGAAGTGACCGCACAATCTTACAACATACATTAATTATGATGAACCATGTTTCTCTTTAACTTTTTCTCTCTTCACTTTCGACCACAATATTGCAATTCAGCTCCACGGTAGGGTTGTGTTGTAATGTAAAACTATGGGAGAGAACCGGGAAAGGACTGTCCAAGAAGTCTACATAACTTTATCCTTTATCCTTTTATCTTTGTTTGGCTTTCCTCTTTCTTCCATCGAAGATGATCTCAAGGAATTTACTAGGAATCCGTCACATACGGTTTCAATAGAAATGGCCACCATGACCCCGGCTAAGATTAAAGGAAGAGGGGACCAATTTTAAGCTATAGCACATGAACCTTGTTTGTCTCTATCTTCCATAATAACATGTGGTGTCTGTTGATAAGGTTCCTGTTAGAATTCAGGAGATTCTTTGGTTCATTCTTCTAGTCTTAGCCATCAGGAGATTGGCTCTTTAATAAAGAACAATCAATCAAGAAAATATACCAATTAATACATGTACAACAAATAAGAGCTTCAGGCACGTGAGCATTTGGTTTAAAGCTCCCTTCCTCTAAATTTTACTTAATCAAAAAATAGCTTATTTTATCTCTTCTTCATAAGAAAATATTTAACCTAAAATTTATTGATAATAAGTTAAAAGACTTTTAAATATAATAAACCAAGTCAAGTATTAAGAAACATTGAATTTTAATTTATTTAAATTTATTTTAGCGCCACTTGATGAAATAATTAAACATAAGATAGTATACAAATATTCTAGTGAATATGCTTCGGGTGTTCATTACCACTTAAAGTTGTTTCTTTTAGTATCAGTTCGGTGATGTTGTGTGTCAACAACCATTTATGGCCCCTTCTAACCTAAATGGGGCATAACCCAGACAGTTAAACCAAGATAGAATTATTAAGACCTAAGTACAGATATTAGATCAAACTCTGTGTTTGATTGTGTGTGAAATATCTTGCATAATCATGTATCCAATGCTCTCTTCCATTATTACTTTTTAACATTTTAAAATAATGGGGTTCAACTATCACAAAAAGCTTAGCCTGGTGGTGGCTGGCCGTTCCAAGGCTTGAACGTTCAGAGGCTACCATTCAGTCTCCAACCATCCAAATCTCAAAAGTCCAACCACACCTTGCTTGAATTGATGGCTGATAACGAATCAGGTTTACCGTCCAAGTACTTCTTGCCGATACAGAAGTTTGGGAGTGCAAGAACAACAACTTGGGTAAGCTACGAATGCATCCACCATTGAGGTAAACCACGAATTGCCAAAGAGTCAGAGGGGTTAAGCAATGGAATCAAAGAAAGATTGAACAGATTTAAGTAAATTGTACGGCAAGGCGACAAGCCATTGGAATGAATGACTCTAGGATTTAAATCCAAAATGAATAAAATCTATTCCGTCTCAATCTCGAGAGGAGTGCATTATCTCTCTATTCTTCAATACCAGATGGATTAGCCACTAAAACACAATAACCTGAATTAGAACTACATCTCAAATTCACAGGTGGGCATCAGCTCTTACCAAAACAATCAGCCACACCACTGAAAAATGAACCCTAGATATGGGAAAAATGAGAGGAAGAAGAAAGAAAAAAAAAACAGAACAGAAAACTTATTATCTGAATTGAACTATATATATGATACAAATCCTCTAAAAGGATTGCTGATCTACCTGCTAACTAGCATCTGAATGGCGGGCCACAAAAGGATTGAACTAGAACCACCCACACAACCATTACGAGGATTTATTCAGCTGTAGGCTGCTGGGAAGGAACCTGACATGACTACAATGTTTTAACTTGGACAGAGCTTCTTGCGACTTACCAAGCATGAGATCAACATATATTGCAGTCATAGTGGCTTCGCTACTGTTGGGTACCAGGGACAATGCTTGCATCACAAAATGGTGGGCCCGCTCGAGCTCACCTTTTATTGCAGACACAGCAGCAAGATTTGCATAAAGGGTTCCACGTGCCTCCTCTGGATTAAGAAACATGAAATCCACCAAGCCCTCAGGGGAAGGATTCTTGGCTGCTGCGGCTCCAGTTGATTCTTCACAATCAACAGGTTTTTCCACTCGCCACTGTTCACAGTCCTCTTGACCAAACGGCAATTCAACATTATTTCCCTGAGACAAATAAAAGGATAAATGCTCTGCAGCTTCCTTAGGCTTGTTCAGCAAGCAGAGAGCCTCTGCCACATAGACATGACCTAGAAAGATGTAAATTCTTGAACAACCAGGCAGTTCTAAGAGAGATCGTGCTGCAGAGAGGGCCTTCAAAGGATTTTCCAGTTCTAACTCTACATATGCCAAATTAGCAAGAAGAGCTTGCTTAATCATCTGATTTTCTCTTTTGCAAATACCTTCATAATAGGAGATGGAGTTCTGAATAATCTCCTGATTAGTTCCCCCCTTTGGCTCTTTCACATCCCCATTTGAGTTAACTAGACCTACTGACATAGTTGAAGCCTTGGAATCAATGCCAGGTAAGTTCTTATGGTTTGAGTTCTTGGAAGATGCTCCATCTTCATTCTCCTCTAAGGATGCATTGGAGGGTAAAGCAGACTTTGAATTACTCCACTCAGAACAGTTCAACAAGTGCAGTGCATTATAGAGACACTGCCTAGCAAGTGACAATGAAAGCTTAGGCTGCCCATCAATACCTAAAGCCCAGTCATCCTTTTCAGAAGAATCTACAAGTCCATTCCTTGAAATTCCGTCTTCAATTAGAAGTTGCCTCCACCTACCCTTTCCAATAACACTGACTCTAATTTCTGATCTGTCTGATGAAGCACGACTTCCTTTTACAAGTCCTTTCTCTACAGCCATTAGACAACATTCAGCAAGCCGAAGCCACAAGAGGGGTCTTTTGTAGAAAATTAAACTTGCTTTCTGGAAACAACGAGCAGCAAGTATTGGTTTCCCACAGGCCAAGTACTGCAACCCACAGTTATATGTTATGACAAGAGATTTATCCAGTGAGAATGTTAATAGCTTTAGAGGCTTCTCCTTCTGCAGAGATGAACAACTACTCAGTGCCTTGGAAAAGAACACCGCAGATGTATGATACTTCCCAAGTTGATAGTATATGCAGCCTAGATTGTTGTTAAACATGCTTGAAATTGCTGCATCCGCCCGATTACTCGATGCCATCAACAACTTGATGGCTTTTCGATGGTTTCCACGAGCATACTCAAGCTGGGCCTTCAAGAGGAGAGCCATAGATGAATCTCTCCCTCGAGCAATGTTCATAGCAAGCTTGACTTCACGCTTTGCTATCTTTACATTTCTAGTGAGAAGCAAAAACTGAACCTTGTAAAGTTGCAACTTGAGCTTCAGATCAATACCAGAGATAGATCTATCAACTGTGGTCCTGGGAAGATCATTTGCAGATGTAAGACCAGCAGACCTTGCTAAGTTTGGTCCACCAATATCCAGTGTCGAAAACATTTCATCCAGTGGGTCCTCTGATAAAGTTCTTGATAGAGGATTCTCAGAGGCATTTACACTAGCAGCCAAGTCTGAACTAGAAGTATCTGAGACCAATGAGCTGCTTGGAACAGAGGACGATTTTCCTACTAGACTCATGGATTGTTGGGCAACCATGTTACCATTGTCCCCCTGACTCACATTGCCAACGCCAAAGGCCTTTTCCAAATAATTCAATACATCCTGAACATAATTAAAGCCGTTTTAGTATCAAAGCTATAAGATACAAACCCAAATTTTAAATAAAACATAACATCGTAAAGACTGCCATTAACAAAACACATACACCCTCAATGATAAT